TCAGAGCCTCAGCAAGTCTATACTGAAACATAAGCAGGTCTTTATATTGCACAGAAATCAACTCCAGTGCAGAAATATCACCTGCTGTTATCTAACAATAAAAATTCCATTCTAGGACAGACTTATCTAAATCGTAGCCCAGCAATTCCAAAAGACAAGCATAACCGTACATCTTGTTCATTTGTGCTTCATACTCATTTCCACCATTACATTCAAATACATTTCCATTTCAGGCTTTTCCAATGGCATTCTCACATGACACATTTTTCAAGCTCATTCTTTTCAATCCACACTAGTTTCTTGCCACTAGGTTCTTTATTGAAGAGATTCAATGAGGAAATGAAATCAGCAGCATAGTTAAGGTTGGAATTGTGTCTTGGAATCTTGATCTATCAGTCTTGTTTCTCTTTTAATTAGTTTTTCTCTTTTTGCACTGACCACTTTTGTTTGCATGGCTTGTGGGAGTTTGAAAAAAGCTCCTCAGCCATGTTGATACTCTATCTTTGTTCAAGAAAAGTCTGGATTAGATCTTCAGATCAAGAATGAGCAAATGGCTCCCTCTTGTTTGTAATCATTCTTATGTTCTTAGCAGTTCTAGCCATTGGACAGAAGCCATAACAGTCAGCTTTCCAAACAGCTATTGCTTTTGGACACAATTTTGTAACACATGTCTATATATATAAAGCATTACATTGAATGCATAAATCAAATGTAACTTGCCTAGAATGAAGCTCCATATTTTTTTTTGTAACACAAAAAATAATGGAATGATTATTTAACTGCAACTTAAACAAAACTCTGGCTTCTTTCAAGAAATAGCTGGGTGAGATCATCAGATCAATTATCTACTAGCAACCAAGTAAAGCAGATGGGCTAAACTTCAATCCTTATTTTATGTGCTTTAGGAAATGCTGACTTTTTGTTTATGATTCTTCCGCCTTGTATAGGGTTCTTGGATAAATGGATAAATGATCAATAATGAAGGCCATGGCAAGTCTCTCATTCTACACACATTTGCTCAACCCTCTTTGTGCCTTCTTGCCAAAAAGCACCACAGGCTGACTGCCCAGGGAATCTGGCTTACCCAATGATTCCACTCAGCTCTGGAATCTCCAGTAGACCTAGTTCTAAAAGCTAGAATAACAACAACAAATTAAAAAAAACTATTTATTTAAAGAGGAACTGCAATACTATTTTGACACTTCAAGAATATAATAAATTGGCAATTCACGAGTGCATTTCAAACCCACATCAAATTCAAATTCACATCCCAAAAGACACACACTTTCCATGTGCGAATAGCTCCACACTGCCGTCACTGGCATTGTCTGCAATTCAGAATGAGGGAACAAAAATTCTGGTGATGCAAAAGTGGCCCTATCATTGTACGCTGTAGTACACTGTTAACATGCCTTAAACCAAGCAAATTAATTTGACATATTTTCATGAGTCTGACACATACAAGGCCAAGTTTTTTACTTTATCCAAGTATTGCGAAAAAGAGCCACCTGCCAGCCAACTAAAATACACCCATATTCAGTTATGAGTTTTGCAAAAATGCTCTTTCATTTACTTTTTAAGTGTGAATTACCATAAAATCACCACCAAAGAAAAAACTCTATCAGGACTTGCAGTATATTTTTGGAGGACTTGCTGTGTCATAGCTGGTGCCATCACCTGAACAGCTGATTTGAATGAGCAATTGAATCAAATTCAACATATCAACTTTGAGGTGGTTAACTCTGCACGAAGATCACAATGGGATGAAATGTCTACAGCACAACCTGTACTTATGCAATCATAAATTCTACTTATACAATCATACATTCTTCTGCCTGCATCAACATGGCACCCATTCAATACTTCACAAAGTCTTCGATTTTGCACTTAATTTGACATTTGTTAAACTTTTGCAATACCGTCAATTAATTTATTTGGTACCAAGATTTAATAACCGGTCTGAGAAATTGGGACTGCGGTTCTGTTTTAAAGAAATGATTCAGTTGAGGAAAATGTGTCATTCACTGTGATGACCTGGCCTACAAATGGCTTACACCAATGTTGCACAGTTGACAAAACCATAAAAAGAAAAAAAAAGAACAACAAAAACACAAGTAACATAAAGCACAGGTCAGTGTTAACAAGGGCAAGTGGCAGACAGAAAGGCTTTAATCATATAACCAATAACACTATCACTTCTGAAAGTGGATGGTTTCAGCTTCTTTTCAGATAGCCCTTATACCGAGATGGGGAATGAAAGCTCCGCAGCAAAAAGTGGCATGGGTCTAAATTGTGCTAAAATGTATCTACTGTTGCATTGTGAAATGGATAATTAACTTTGGTATTAACCTATGGTTAACATACAATTTACAAGCCTCCCCTTCAGTGCAGAATGGCAAGAAATCAATGTGGCAATCCACAGGAAAACAGCAAATGAAATAACAGTACTGCTAAATTCACATCAAATAATGTGCATCAACAATTAATACAACTGCAGTAATAATTTATCCATTCAACACTCAGATACAGTTCTGAAACTGAAGAAGCTCCTTTCTTGCTCTTATATTTTCAGAAACATAATTATCTCCCCTTAAGCAGCCATCCACTGTTGCCGCGTACCCCTACGTTCCTAATTATTTTGCGCCCAAGTTTTGCTTTAAAAGGAATGTCACTCGCTTTTATTTTTTCTATATCAAGAATATGACTCATAGCATTACATTTTAAACAAAATGGCAATTAAGCAAGCATGAACAGCACAAGAACTAGAAAACTGTGGGAAATACAGTCACAAATGTAAAAATTGAGAGAATTCTGAATGGAAATTGTAGACTAATTTTAATGTATTATTTTATACTATAAAAAACAGGCATTTCTGCATGTGTGTTTCAAATGAACAATGTCACAAAAAAGCAATGTTGTGGTATTTATAATTTTAATAATGCAAATTAAACAAAAAAAAAACAAATTCATCTACAATTTCCCAAATGGATTTGTTTTATACACAGAATAAAAAAATGTGGTAATAATTAGCCAGTTTCTAATGTGGCTAATTTCAATAAAAATGCTAAAAACAATTCTAAGCAATTATGAGCTTACCAAACAAACTAGATCGTGTAGTATCAAAGTGTCAAATGCAGTATTACTGTGTTATTAATAAACATGCACAAGTCAATTACTCATCTTCAGAGTTCAGTATTCTCAATTACACTTTGTGGACCATACACTATAAAAACAATTACCTTTCTAATCTTAGTGTACTGTTTTGAGACACACATAAGTTATAGAACGTAGCATTTGCAAAAGGGAATTTGCTCTTAATTGGATTGATGGTCACCTGATTCAATTTTAGGTTTACATGTAGGATATGTTAATTAACCTAGTTGTGAGCACAAACATTACCAATAAAAAGTAGATCAATTTTAATGATCTATCAAATTCTCTACAAAAATCCAAACAATGTAATATCCCTTGTAGTCTTCACTACCTTCTTTAAACAGGACCATTAAGGTACAGAAATGTATGTTATCTTAAATACATTGAGTACAGAGGGGCATAACTAGGTAAACAAGGAACCAAATCCTTGTTTTACTTAATAAACCAAACTTATTTAACATTATCAAGCAAGCAGAATAAGTGAATTTCACTCAGAGTAAATGAGGTTTCAAATTTATCCAAGAACCACGTACTGCTGTAAACATCAGGTAGAAGAAGCTAATATTTGAAATGTGAAGACAGTTATAGTACAGTAGGTACAGAGGAGGCAAAGCCAGAAATGGAATATTGTGTCAGTTACAAAGTTCAAGTAATTCAGTGAGTTGTTCTAGAGATGTTTTTAGATGTACAGAACAAAGCTGGCCATGATCAGCTACAGTAGCAGATGTGATGTGCTGTGAAACGTGGACCTTAAAGATATGAGGTCTTCTTTCATGACAGGCTACAGTCAGAAAATCAAATTATAACCTGTATAGCAATGGGCTAACATGTGATCACTTCTATCACCAGCCTGTGGCCCTGAAACGTGGTACTGACAGAAAAGGCTCTTCAATTGACAAAAGGTGAAGCTTGAATGAAAATCATTCTTGTTTTTATAATTTTTTTCTTTTTCATTGACAATGGTGAATATCCTCTACCTAGACTAACTAACAAATTCCAAGCAGACAAACAGTACTCCAGGACAAATGGGCCTATGAGGTCATCTGAATTCAGTCTTTTCTACAACAGGCTTGAGATACTCTTAGAAAATGTTCCACCACTGGTTTGTGATAAGTTTAGTGAACAAGTACATAAGAGAGTATCAGCTTGATTAAATGAGCATCGCATTGTTATGGGTTGGCAACACATCTTAGGATGTGTGAGTCTTTCCACTACACTCTTCTGCTTATCATTTTATTTGGCAAAACATCCTGCCAGTTGGTAACTTTCACTTTTGATGGCTCCTGTCCTGAACATTTTTGTCTTCAAATATGTCAGTATGGCCATTCATGACATAGAATCACTATCACTCAGCTGGAAAATATTTTCTTATTTCCATGCCTGGTAATGAGGTGATTCTTGATAATGTTTCCAAGAAGTCAGTTCATGCAATATACACCATACAAATAGTGACATTTGTGAAACAAAGAGACTAACCACAAGGGAATCATGAAAAGGTACATTGATGCTAGATGTTATGTTTTGTTTAGTGCAAAGCTCAGGATTTTTTTACCCCATATAAGATTATCTTTAAATATTAGCATCAATTAATACTAATTAATATTAGAATATATTAATAAATAACATATTGGGGGGGGGGGGATTTCGACACCCATGTCTGTTCTATAAAGTACCACTGCTCTCTCAGTTAAATAACACCACGTCCGAAACTCATGAGCAGTCGTCAGCCTTAGTTATCATGAACTTTTTGTGCAATATACAGTGGGTGAAACCTACCGAAGTAGCCTTGCATTAATAGCAACTTGGACGACTGAAAAAGACATAATTAAAACGCAGCGTTAACTTGCCTTTTAGAGCCCCTTGAGTATGTGAACGTAAAGGTGGAGTCCGAGTATCGGAAATCTGAAATAAAAGAAGAAACGCCCGTCAGGTAATAACGACAGGTACAATCAATACAGTACTCACAAAGGAAAAGAAAGAATACAACCGCAGGAAAAGTCCCTTTTCAACAAGTGCAGTTGCCATGGCAACATCAGAAGGGATTTCCACTGACAACGGATGAAGAGAACTAATAATGAATATTCACGGAATAATTCTGTCTGAAACAGTATTCCATATGGAATTCTTTTTTTCAGTCAATGTGTTTTTCACAGAATGCTCCAGCTAACTGATTGTTAGAAGGCACTGTATTCTATTAAATGCTCAAGCTAACGTCATGACTAGCATGATAATGTTTTCTGGTTGTTTTCCATCTATACATTTATAATTACAAATCAAATATATCATTTCAACACATTCATGCATTATTATATAGTGAAATTTTACTTTGATTAAAACAAAAACAAACAGTACAGAATTAATTCTACATTGCTTTATCAGATCTTACGTTTCCTTTTAAAACCATCACTTTGCATTTTTATTTTAAAAAAGAACAGAAAAAAACATATTTTTTTCAGGTCACGATGTGGCAAACGATAAGTTCATTCCTCTATATCTTTGGTAAAATCATGTAATATGTATATATACGTAGTTAATGTTTTTGCATGTAAATATATAATGGTTAGTAATACCCACAACGCAAAAGTAGGAAACTCACCAGAAAACAGGCAGTCTTTCTCTGCCTTGCACCTTTGGATCACGATGTCGACGTCTTTTTGAATTCTCTCTTGCCTTGAACACATCCCCATGAAATAAAAACCCCTGGGATGACTTGTTTTATTATTTACTGTAAAAATTACTGTCTTCCCTTTCAGGATTTATACATTCCAAAAGACTGTTTTTTTTTTAGAAAGGCAGAGCAATATTCATTAACTGTGGCTGTTTATAAAATCCCAGGTGTGTCAAGCGAACCTTGCTTCTGTATTTTCTCTTGCAACAATAGGTTCACAGATGAAAAGCACCAGAACTCAACAGCACCCTCTCCTCGATGTATATTGGTGATAGCTTTTTATACCGGAAGCCACAACCTCCACTCCACCTCACACTGCTAAACCCAACAATGGCGATTTCGAAAGCTATAGCAGAAGCTAGTCTTAAAGTGAAACTGACGCTCAAAATCCGTTATTTCTAAATGACCTGTTTTGAATTTATTATCACATTGGTATATTTGAACTGGTGCTGAATACAATCTGCAAAATAATTGAACTGCACAGGTCAGATGTTATACTAAGTCGCACAAGTGTCATAATAAGTCTCCAATAATTATTATGTCATGTACTATGTAAAAAAAAAAAATAGATTCATGCCTAGAACACATTTCTTGCAATTTTCTTGTCTTTGTGGGTTTGGTTAGGAGATTTTTTTTGGATTTCTTCTGATTTTGCCCAAGTACTAGAAAAGGTTTGATTGATGTCTGTTAATCAAATCTTTAATTATAAAAACAAACTGTGAAAGAAGTGAATATTAGACAAATCCCTACAACAGTGTGATCTCCCATTTATTGCTAATTGGAGAATTCAAGCAACATGTAACAATAGCAAGCACTCAACTGCTCAATATTATTCAGAATCCAAAAAATCACTTATTGTTAAAGCATTTCCTGGTGCTAACCATGATAACAGCTGTGCATTTTACTGAAAGACTTATTTATTCAAAGAGTTTACATTACTCTACAATTTTTATGTCCCCACATTCAGTAAATAAAAATATACTAAAATCCCAACTACAATAATTAAGGTCATCCTTTGGTAGAGTTCACTATGCCTTTAGCCATTTCTTTTCCACCTGTCTCAGTTAAGGGCCTTGCGCAGGAGACAAACAGAGTAGGATTCCTCTGCCGACTGTGGGATTTGAATCAGCAACCTTCTAGCCACAGGCACAGATCTTTAGCTACAGTGCCACCACTCCACCCCTTTATACAAATGGGAAAAAAACTCTTCCTAACATAATCTTCACAAGATTTTTTTCTATTCTTTTAAACTCCACCTATTCAAAAAATCTCTTTAACCATAAACATTTCTAGACATTAATGCTTAACTTGCCAGCAACAAATGTTCCTTCTGACAACCAATAATAATATACAATATAATGCTGAACTTCACTGGAGTATTGGCAAAGTCAACCAAGTGGAATTCCTCAGAATAAACAGAAATACGAGCCAGAGGACACAAATGGAAACTATTTGGAAATTTATTCAATACCAAGAACAGGAGGCACTTCTTTACCCAAAGGATTGTGGGAGTATGGAACAAGAAACCATGTTGTTGAATCCAGTACCTTAGCAACATTCAAGAAACAGCTGGATGGGATGTTTGGATCAATTGGCTGCTAACTACCAAAAAAACTAGATAGACCAAATGGTTACCTCTGGTTTGTAACTGTTCTTATGTTTCTGTTCCAAAACACACAATACTTTGGCAGCAATGTGATAAGAAAAAAAACTACAGGATGATGTAATTACTGGCCCAGAGATTGATATTATCCCAAGTAGTTTTAATTATAAAGACAATTATTGTTTCAAGACATTTTTAAATAGGCTTTTATCACCTAATAAATGAAATTCAGTATCAGGACTAAAATAAAGTTCTAGCATTTTATGATTATCTTGAAGTACTATATATATGTTTTTTCTTTATGAAACAAAGTGGTGCCTAGTGCTTGCCACTCACACTGAAAAGGATTATATTATTCATTGATGTACACAATTCATTCTTGCACAAATACAATATTTTCCATAAGAAACACGTGAAGACTTTGGAAACAAACTGGTTACAATTACAGGAAAGCAGCCTATGAAGAGAACGGACGGCTACATTGTAAACATACTCTGCTTGATGCACAGAACAGGTTCATCCCTAGGATGAGAAAATGAAAATCAATTAATAAAAGAGAAATAAAAATAAAAATGAACAACAGCACCTATCCTGGCAAGCAACAGGCACTAGGTAGGATACACCCTGCATAGGATGCCAGTGCACCCCAGGGCGCACACAAACTCACACCAGGGCCAATTTCACTAGAAACCATTCATTAGTCTATGAACATCTCTTTGGAGTTGTTAAAACTGAGACTGTCCAACTGTCCTTCGGCTTATAAAAGAACAGTTAAAAATATGAGACGTATGAACCTGCGAAACTGCGAGTCTGAAACATGTTTGGTTTTCAAACACTTATTATACTTCTGTGGTCTTGGTGGGATGTGTTATCTCTGTGAATTGATATTCTGTTAATTTTATTTGATTATCATCCAGCTCTTGCAAGGCCCTGGCCATTATGGTAAGTGTAACAAAGCATTCTTTCAGGACCCTATGCAGTCAACACAATCTGGAATGAGTAGGGGAAAACACAGGGAAAAAGCATGCAGGATACGGGGATGAAAACAGGGGGCGTGTCTTGGTGCGCTGGTGTTCAGGGGAGGTGTGGCCGAGGCAAACAATCCAGGAAGAAGTCCAAGGGAGAACCCAAAAGGAGGCAAAAGTCCAAAGCCGGGCGGTCCATCCTAGACAAATGATTAAGAACGGGAACCGGGTTGGATCCGGCACGGGAATGGGAACAGGAACTAAAACCTTAACGGGACCAGGCGCTTCCAGGTCCTGGACTCTCATGGTATGGAAACCACAGCAGAGCCCAGAATGGAGTGAGCACCTGGCTTTTAAGGAGAACTGAAAAGGGGGCTGGAACAGGGAGCAGGTGTGGTGGATGAGTAGAAAACAAGGAAGGGCTGGAGTGTCCTTAAGAAGAGGGGTTTACGAACGTGACAGTCAGTTAATAGATGTAGATCTCACCAAGGGAAATGGGTGTAATTTAATTTATTTAATGATCCCCCTTGTGCATGCATTGTGAGTGTAATATTTTTTTATAAAAATAAAAGTCGTGATTTTTTGGAGAAAAAAAATGTCTCTGGAGTGTTGGAGAAAACCAGAGCACCTCGCGAAAGTCCACAAGAAAATAGGGAGAACATCCAAACTTCATGTAGATAGCACCCCAGAACTGAACCCAGGCCCCCAACACTGCAAAGCAGTAATGCTATTCACTGTGACCACCTGCATTTGAGACTATACCATAATAACTGAGAGAGATAGAAAGGCACATTACAACAGAGTTTAACGTATTTTTTCAGTATTTCAGCTGCTAAAGAACAGTAAAGGTGATGTGACGTGTCTAAGAAATATTCACAGAAAAGCTTGAAACATTGTAGCAAATACCTACTATAAAATTATTGTCTTATTCAAGTGTTTACCAGTGATGAATCTGACAAATTGTCTCAGAGTGAAGAAAGATAAAGTTCTTTATATGAAATACTATTAACCTGGCAAAAGCAGAAGTTTTTACGGTACTAGAACCACAAAAGATAAACAAATCTCTGGAGTCCAGTGGTGCTCCACCAATTGTACTACGGAAATAAAAGCTGTTATTCATAGACTACCCACTGACAGGAAAATTGCTAATGTAGCATCCATTCACAAATGTGACAAAACTGGATCAAGCAATTATAAACCAATAAATCTTATTTATATTATGTGTAAGGTTATGGAAAATATTATTCAGAAGGCTGTTATGAAAGAATAAAAAATATACCTTAAATTGCTAGTGGTAGGTATTAAAGATAATGCAAATTTAGGCTTGAAAACTAGTTAACAGAGATAAAACAGTACATATAATGAATGGATTCTCAAACAGAGGTTATATATACAAGTAGTATTGTATATACTAACAATAAAGACTGAATTGAAAGAACGTGAACTTGAACTTTATTGCCATATGTAACTGGTACTGGTACAATGGAATTCTTACTTACAGAAAGTCTCTCGATTGTAAAACAAGTGTAAAAAACAAGACAAAGTGCAAACAGTGCATCAAGACAATGTACAAACAAACAATAGACCATGTGCAAGTAAACATGTAGACAATTTGAATGTAAAAACACTTAGATAATTTATATGTACAGTATATTGACTGATGTACTGGTATGTATATTGACATATTAGTTTAATCTCTTGTTCCTGTCTTTTAGTTTTCAATCTGACTGAAATCTGTTAGTTTGACTCATCAAAACTCTAAAATTGGAATGGAAAAATGGGACTGAGTTCATTCAGTTTTAGAACTGTTTTACTTCTTCAGTAATAGAATGATGGTATAAATAAGCAAATAATCTGTGCCAGATTGGCGGTTTCAGATCTTCTCTGACATTCTTCTTCTCTAACAGCTTTATTGCTTCAAAGAATGTGTTTAATTTGACTAATGGTTTAGTCAATGGTTTAAAACATTTATAATATGAGTATTTGACAGCAACAATAAGAGGTATTTAGAGACCTGTAGGGTAACAATAGCTTACCAAGATGAAATTATTATCTCTATATTTTTGTATATTAAATATATAAGGAAGATTACATGTGAGATTAAGTCCTGAGTGCAGAAACAAAAAACAATTAGTTCAATTAAAAGATCAGTAAACATAATCAAAGAGCTCATGTGGGATAAAAACCAAAAATATGCAGGTGTACTCTTGGATCAGGTCTGGAAACCACACTTCAAACCATTCCATCCTATATAAGGATGTTAGAATGTATAGTTCAAGGTGCACAATTTAAATATGTTAAACATGTGTAATGCTCCAGTAACACATCATTTAGCACTGTTTGTTCATCGCTATGCTTTTTATAGAATCTTCTGGGTAATCCAAGTCCTGTAGGGCTGGCATATCTGCAGAGTTTCTATATCTCTTCAAAGCACTAGCACTGAAAGAGCTGGGAGAAGCTGTTAAATTGAGCAAACAATTAACTGATTTCGTTTGGTAAATTAGAAGTGAAAGCCTGCGGATTTACTGGTCCTCCAGGACCAGTATTCTATTAATTCTACTAACAACCTGAAAGTGACTGAATCTCTTCAGTCTTGACAAGAAATAAACTACAAGTGGAACCGATTCAAGTATTCACAATACTCAAAGATATTAAGATAGTCCCCCACCAGAATCAACAATAAAACATTGGCAAAGAATTAAAGCTATCAACAGACTGTAGGAGTCTGGGAC